CCATTTTTTCATTTACACCAGATTTGCGGTACAACGCACTGAGTTTTGTCTTTCTCCAAGTGAGGGAACTATCATGGCTACAATGGCATCCTTTTAGTGTTTCATCAAGTCCTCTAGATGGGAAGCATCATGTTGCGGTTCTTATAAAGGTTCTTGGTGGATGGACTGCAAAGCTTAGGGACCAATTGTCAAAGCTATATGAGGCAGAGAATCAAAATCAGCTCCTTTCTCCTCAGTCATATCCCAAAATCACAGCTTGTGTGGAGGGTCCTTATGGCCACGAATCTCCATACCACTTGGCGTAATACGTTTGAATGCATCGTCTATGTTGAATTGTATCTATACAATAAGCTTTTAGCAAGACTCAGGAAAGGTTTATTTTGGATTGCAGGTACGAGAACCTGGTCTTAATAGCAGGAGGAATCGGGATTTCGCCTTTTTTCGCCATATTAAGTGATATCCTACACCGTAAAAGAGATGGGAAAGCTTGTTTACCAAATAAGGTTTTAGTTATCTGGGCAATTAAAAACTCAGACGAGCTCTCTCTTCTCTCAGCTATTGACATACCTTCCATTTGCCCTTTATTCTCTCACAAACTCAACCTTGAGATTAACATATACGTCACTAGACAATCCGAGCCTCTCTTGGTAAGTCTTACATAAGATTTTTTGCTCTGCAAAATGGCCTTATAGTTTGTTGAACTCATCTCTGTTTCATGGCCATACAGGAAGATGGGATGGTTCACAAGATCGTGAATCCTTCTGTCAAACCACAGACCAACGGGTGTCCCATGTCCGTTCTAGTTGGTACCGGGGATAATATATGGTCTGGACTCTATCTGATTTCATCCACCATTGGATTTATTTCAATGCTCACATTGTTGGACATCTTTTACATAAACAAATTCAACATAACGGCGTGGTGGTACAAGGGACTTCTATTTGTTATTTGTATGGTTGCAAGTGTGTTGATTTTTGGAGGTCCTGTGGTTGTTTTCTGGCATCTTTGGGGTCACAAAACCGGTAAAGTGGAACCAGATGGCCACGAGAAGGTAGGTTTGAACGGAGAAGAACCACGGAATCAATCTGCGGAGGATAAAAGCCTTGACATAGAAGAAGATGACCAGAGTTTCATCACTACTCGTTATGGCACCAGACCAGACTTTAAAGGTACAAACATAACTAGAGCCGTCCAATCCGGTTTTCATTACCGTCTTTTGCTTTTGTATTTATGTTGATGAAATATCCGGAGCAATTCTAAAAACGGGTTTTATGTAGGTTTCGATTTGATTTTGTTAAACAATATTGGTTTTCCTAGTACAAACCCAAAACTATAAACGTTTTTTTATTGTCTTTGAACGATATGCGATGTTGATGTAATTTATTTTATCTATTTTACAGAGATATTTGAGTCGTTGAATGGGAAATGGGGAAGTGTGGATGTTGGAGTTATATTATGTGGCCCCGCGAGTCTTCAGACGAGCGTTGCCAAAGAAATACGGTCACATAGCATATGGCGATCCGCGAATCATCCTCTTTTCCACTTCAATAGCCACAGTTTCGATCTGTAAACCACGCTCTCAAGGCTGAAGAGAAGTATGGAATGTGTGGAAATTCGAAGAAAAAAACTATGCATGTATTATAGGTAATAGCAGTCTGTATGTATCAAGGAAATAACTATGGTCAATATGTGTATGTTTGTCTCTCAGTTTTCATGCATAAGTAATCAAATGTATGAGCTTCTTCTATGGTTTATATACCTGTTAGCATCTGTTTGTACATTGGGATATTGGTTTAATGCAAGCTGATAAGTCTTAAAATTACATAAAAGCAGGTGGCCATTGTTTTTGGAATTTGTTTTCCATAATAGAAAAATATATTATATATGTGGAAGCCAAAACTCACAAATTAATTCTCAGGAGAATTTTTATGCTAAACCAATAAAAGAAAAGACGAAGATTTTTGGTTAACAAAAGAAATTATTGGATGAGCAAATTATTAGATTAACGACTGATATGATACAAAAGTTTGATTGCCAATGAATGTAGTAAAAGTCGAGAGTATCAGATTTCTAAATTATCTTATGCGATTTTAACATTTCATGCAACTTTTTTTTAATCATTTGCCACCTTTTGATTCGAAAAGAAAATAATACATCTATGTGCAACAATTTAGTG